GTCCATCTCCTCTGCTCTAGAATGACTGAAGGTCACCATGTAGTCACCTTCTCTGCTCTAGAATGACTGAAGGCCACCATCTCTGCTCTAGAATGACTGGAGTCCATCTCCTCTGCTCTAGAATGACTGAAGGTCACCATGTAGTCACCTTCTCTGCTCTAGAATGACTGAAGGCCACCATCTCTGCTCTGGAATGACTGGAGTCCATCTCCTCTGCTCTAGAATGACTGAAGGTCACTATCTCTGCCTAGAATGACTGAATGCCACTTCCTCTGCTCTAGAATGACTGGAGGCCACCAATTCCTTCAGTCGGGAGGGTTGATGGCAGCTTCTTCCGCAGAGGCCATCTTGGTGCCTCCACTGCCTGATGGCCACAAAGACCAGGACGAGGAGCGGGACAGAGAAGGTGCCGAGAGACGCAGGGGGTTGGAGAAGGGGAGAGCCGCCACAGGGTGGCGGGCCAGAAAGGAGGTTTTGCCACACAGCAACTCGAGAGAGGCCCTGTCCTGTCGCAGCAAGCCAACCCCCGCGTGAGAGGCTCACTTACTCTGGTTTCCCTTTGACTTGGCAGAGGAGTTCGAGCAGGTCTCCTTCCCTTGTGAGCGGCTGCGGAGGAGAATTCTGCAAAACTTGTACTTCAGGCTTATCTGCACATCAAAGACACAACACAGACAATGAAAAAGAGAGGAAAAAAAATAGGAATGAATGAACGAATGAATGGATGAGTCACCCCATTACAAAAAGACTCCAAGCAAATGGCTCATTTGGTTAATTCTTTTAAAAAAATAAATAAATTAAGGACAGGTCCTGCAGAAGAAAAACGGTCGAGGGCTTCCCTGGCGGTTGGACCTTTTCATCTGTCAATTATCCTGGCGTTTCCCCCAAAATTAAGTTGACTAATAGCGCTCCAAACCCAACGTGTTGATAAGAAACCTGGACGCCACGGTGGCGGCTCCCCCTGGTTATCGCAAAAAGAAATTCTGTTAAATTGAAGTTTATCTCTGAACTCGTTCGAGCTCACGGAAACTCATTTGCCTTCACGCTGTGGTGAAACGGCAGATTTGCGGTGCTCAGAATTGATACCTTTTATCATGCATCATATTTTATGGGCTGGCAATCCTTTGTGCGGTGGCAAATTAATAGGCCGGGCTCTTACGGGAGCATCGGACGAGGAGGTGCAGGCTGAGCTAAGCACCGGTTTCTGCAAGGAGATTCGTAACCCCCCCAAAAGCCGCCAGGGGGATGCAAGCCTTTCACTCCCAGGGGCAGAATTTGGGGGTCCTTTGGAAAGACCCTGCAGGAGAAGAGCAGTTAAGGAGGAGGTTGCTCTAAACCACAACCGTGGCACAGACACAATACCCAACGTCACCAGGAGACCTTCAGAGCGAGGGCCATCTCTTCCTTGCCACGGATATTTTGGGGGAGACAGAGTGGCTAAACCAGTAGGAGGAGTCAAGCAGGGAACCAGTCTAGAATCCTCGTGTGGGCACAAAAGGGTAACTGACTCCTCTTGAATGGCACTGAACCTTATCTAGTGTGGCCCAGGTGCAAACCACCAGCTTGGAGAAGATTCCTGTGTTTATAGGCATGAGCAATAAAGTAGCTAATCGAACTCTTTACGTGTGGATCTGGTTGTTCCCACCTGACACGTTAAATCAGCAGCGCCTGTGGTAATTTTAGGAATGGCCAATAATAAAGAAACATGTTAGATTCTGGTTATTCCTCCCTCACTCCCCCTTTCCAAATGAATCCTGGGATAGAAGCCAGGTTAGGAATAGACATGTACGGATTAAAAGACAAACGCAAGACATTCACAATTAAATGCAAAACACTTTTAGCAACCACGTTTTCTGTCCTGGTGAGAGTGTCAGTGAAGTTGGATCCCTTTGCAAAACCTAAAGGCGGAGAGTTGGAGCAGATCCTGGCCCTTAATTGATCAGAAAAGGATTCCTCAGCTCAATCCTCACAACGAGAGGATGATGCAAAGGAACACTGTAAGTAACAGTCAACACCACGAGTGAGTTATAACCAGGTGTAAGGTTTCCAATTATCCTATAAGAAAATAGCTTAATAAGGTGTCTTAGGCATCACAGTTTGCAAATTCTACAGTATGACACACACAAGATTGAAAAAAAGCTGGAGGAGAGGAGAACGTGCTACACCTTAAAAGAGTCACAAATTTATTACCGCATCAACATCTCATGCCACAAAACTCATTTTCTCTGTAACAGACTCACACTGCCTCCCCCTCCACCCCCCGGTCAGTGGTTATAATTTGAAAACGCTATTATGGAATTGACGGTATAGTTTAAGATAGATAAAAGTAAAAGGTAACACAACGGTAATGCAAAGCGGACACTCAACGCACACATGGACCAATACAACACAACCCACAGCTTTTCCAGAAGCAAGGGGGGGGCTGCTCTTTTGACACTATCGGAGGGCAAGGGTTGGGCTCCGCTGATGCAACTACACAAAGTTGTAGAACAATCTCCGGGTCAGAATGAGAGATGAGGAAAGTATTTGAGCCTCTCATCATAACTTCACCCAAGTCTGAAATTCCCGTCTTGCCTCCCCACCTTTCCACCTCCTCCCACCAGCCACCATTGCAAGTCACACACACAGACAAAAGTCTTGGAAAGAACCAGGATTAGCTCTGCAATACCCAAGAATCTCCTGACTCTGTTCTGTTCAAGGAAAGTAGGCTTGGATCCACTTGGATGGAGAAAGAAAGTCAATGTTTAAGGAAGGCCGGAAACTGAAGGAGGAAGAAAGCAAATTGGAGTAAGCGACTCTTTAGACATTTGTGGGGGGGAAATGAAGGGAATCAATTAAATAAAAATCAGCCAGGACAGAGTTTCACGGGTAAGAAAAGAAAACGGAGGGAGATCCACGCTGGTTTAATGAGCAATCAGTTCTTCCTCAAAAACAAAAGGCGGAGGAGGAAACCAGAGTGAAATCAGGAATGAAAGGCACCAGGAGGAGGAGAGGAACAGGGTCTTAAACTGCACATGAAAAGGAGGAAGGCAACCGGCAAAGGAGAAAAGAATAAAACAAAACAGAGAGGCAGGATTATTGTTGCACACGGAGTATCTAGAGACAAGGGTTTGAAAGGGGGAAACACTGGATAAAGCAATTTTAACAGACTCACAAGGATGAAATAAGGGGAGAGAGGCCAACGTAGACAGAATCAAGGGGAACAGTATAGTTTGGCATAGCTTATTAACAGGGAAAATGGGTCAAGATGCCATCAATAATGAAAAATGAAGAGCAAAAGTATCATTTAAACAGGAGTATTATTGTTGTGTTGACTGACATTGGGCTGTCATTAACCACTCGGCGTCTGTGGATAACAGCAAGTATAAATTTAGTAAACCTAATAAATCAATAGTTTTGATTTTGAGATTAAAACCACACACATTCTACATAATAGGAAGAGCAGGAGGGGAAGCATCCGGGAGGGAAGGGGGAGGGGGCAGGATATCCTGTCCCTGAAAGGTTTTTTTCTTTTACAAAAATGTGGGATCAAAAGCAACAAAATCAATTTTTTTTTAAAGGACCTAGATCAAAGATAGTAAAGATTAAGCCATCCTCCTCATCCTCCTGGAATAACAGAATTCTTAGCATGAAAAGGAATCAGAAACGGAAGAATCTCCCAGCAGGAAAGGAAGCCCACCGAGGAACTCAGAGCTGTAAAAAAATAGGGGGGGGGGGTTCGTGAAAAGCACTGAAAGTGGAGGCCACAGCAAGCAAAACTGAGCACCAGTGCAATCTTTTCATGAGAGAAAATCAGTTTTAATAATAACATGTCACAGAATGAAAGAATTGCAGCGTTAGAAAAGATTTCAAGGATCCTCTGGTCCAAATCTCTGCAACATGGAAGAAAACACAAGTCAACCATCCGTGGCGTCCAACCTCTCCTGAAAAGCCTCCAGAGATGGAGAACCCAAAACCTCCGTAGAGAGAGAGAGACAGTTCAGTTATTGCACAGTCCTTACCGACAAAACATTTTCATTGTAGTTACATGAAACCCAGAGGTAGTTGTAATTTCCGCTCGTCATTTCTGGTCTTACTTTTGTGTCCATGGAAAATAAGTCCTCCCACTCTTTCCCTTTGGCCTCCTCGTGCGCATCTTCACCCTGAGGATGGCACCCCTGAGGCCTCTCTCCTCCAGACCGAACATCTGAAGGGCCTCCAGCCTTCCTGGCAGGCCGCGTCCTTCGGTCCTTCGCTCCCTGATTGCTTTTAGCCAGTCAGGCGTGAATCCATATTATTGCTGTGCCATCCAAACCAGACTTTAACAGCTTGTCAATGAGAATGTCATGTGGAAAGTTTGCTGATATGGAGGTAGATTATCCTACTGCCTTCCCCTTTTCCAATAAAGGCGCTCCCTTGTCAAAGGAGGAGACAAGATTTGTCTCACATGACCTGCTTTTCACAAAGCCTTGCTGACTCTCAGCAATAATGGCATTATCTTCAAGATGCTTACAAATGGCCTGCTTTATTATTTGCGTTAACATCTTTCTAGGTATTGATGTTAAGTTCACTGGCTGATAATTACAGGATTTTCTCTCTTTCTGGAAGAGGGGGTTGAGCTGGCTCTTCTCCGGCTGTCTGGAGCATCCCAATTCTCCAGGTTTCCTCAAAGCTTAACGGACAGGCGTCCTAAGAGCCCCTCGGTATTCTGGGGTATATTTCAACAGGGATTGGAGCAGTGGTGAAACTCTTTATTTTTTAAAACTACTGGTTCTGTGGGCGTGGCAGGGGAAGGATACTGCAAAATCCCCATTCCCTCCCCACTCCTGGGGCCAGGCAGAGGTGATATTTGCCGGTTCTCCGAACTACTCGAATTTCCCACTACCAGTTCTCCAGAACCTGTCGGAACCTGCTGAATTTCAGCCCTGGCTTGGAGGAATAAACATTGACCTACTCAAAAAGATCAGGGCCCGGGATGATCCCATGTCTTTGGACCTCTAGCCGTTTCTGATCAAATGCACGGCACTGCACCTTCCCCTGGGACTGGGGTGCTCCAAGGGGGGCTTTGCTCACGTGGGCTCCCTTGTAGTTGGGACATGGAACAAGTCCAACAGCTAGAAGGTCTCTCCCCATCTAGAAAACCAGCTTCCCACAATGTCGGAACTTCTGTCCCCACCCACAGACAATCGCTTGACGTCGCTTGGTCTTTCCAAGTAGTCTTCAAAGATTTAACCTGTTTCCCTTGTCAGGGTCTGAGAAGAAGACGGCTGTTTTCAGAGGGATGGAAATGACACACCTAAGGACCTTCACCAGGAAGCAGAACAACCCCAAATGAGATGCTCCCACAACTGGAAACATTCAGGAGAAGATCCAAGGCCAAACACACTTTTATGAGCAGATGGCATGTTTTACAACTCAACAGAAGGTCAATGCACGTCCTCTGAAATCAGGGAGAAGACGGCTGCGTTTATGTCCCAGGGACCTCTGGAAATTCAGCAAACCTACCTTTCTGGGCTCCAAAGGCCGCGTGTTTGCATCTAGAGACTGTGTCCAATATTTTCTTCTCTGCAACACTCAGAGGTTACGATACACAGTCACTTAGCAATGATCAATTGGGTTGAAGCAGACATTTGGCTGATCCCGCTACTTGTGAAATCCCTCCTACCTTGAG